GATGCCACCACTCTGGTAGAAACGACTTCGCTGCCTGTAGCCTCACACGCCGGGGTTGGAGCTGTGGTTGTGGTGGGTGTCTGGCAAGCGAGACAAGGTGATGCTGTTCAGTGCCACAGACCCCTCTCTGTGCAGCAGTGGGTGTTTTCCAGGCTGGGTTGTTTTTTTCCCTTTCCTTTTGTGCCAGCGTTTGCACAACCTCTGCCCCCTTCACCGCTCTGAAACCACTTTTTCCCCCCTCTTTGCTTAAAAGCAGCAAACAAGCAGTTTTCAGCTGCAGTAAATATGAGCGGCCCTTTTTTCCCCCAGCCTCTAACAGCGCTGCAGGAATCCGTAACGTCTCAGCCGATAACATCTCGATACGTCCCACCGCCAACATCCATTGGATTAAAAGCTCAGCGGAGAGGGACAGCGGTGAGCAGCAATGCATGATGAACACCAGACTCTCCAAATACCTCAAAATCGTATTTGTGTGCCCTGATGGCCAGTGTCTTCTGCCTTGGGTCCTATTTGCCTGCGGATTTTGGTCGCTCAGGCTTAGTTTGCATTTGTTTTACTCCACCGGAGAGCTCCCTTTGCTCTTTCTTACGAGGAGAAAAAAGAAAAGGACAAATATCATCTCGTGTTTCAATTTGACAGTTCTTCCCATTTAGGGAAAATTCATCTCTGAGGGTGATAATGGCAATTTTCTATGAGAAAACCCATCAGCCCCAGGCGAGGCAGTGTCCGAAGGCAGCTCCTATTCCAGGCCTGAGCACCCGTTGGGTGCTGGCGTTTCTGTGGTCCGGCAGAAACGGCATCTTTAGGTGCTCCTGGAAACTTGCTGTGCCTGTATTACTGGATTGACTTTATTACTTAAAAAAAAAAAAATATATACAAAACTTATCGGCTGTTACTTAGGCAAAGCAAGAGCCCAGCCATACCCACTGCCTTCCTCCTCTGCCTCCTCCTCGCCAGCCTTCTCCACCTTCCCCGGTCCCCCCTCCGCAGCCAGCACTGTTTATTCTGCCGCATGTGCTTCATATTTTTGCTTAATACTAATTCACATAAAATCCCTATGAAGAAGAACCACCCATCTACACATATGGAAGCAGTCTCGGCACGCAGTCCCCAGACCCAGCTGGGAGTCGGAAAGCCGTGTGCAGCTCAAAATTAGGATACAGACAAGTGGTGAATGTGGGAGAAAAGGCAGTTAAAAGGAGAAAACCACGGCATGTAAATGGGTTATTACTTCAATCACCCAATTAGGAATCTATGGTCTCTCTTCTTCGTTTCTTCTAAGGCGACAATATAATTAATTAAAGAGAAATGTCTCCTCTGCTCCCGTCTGTCACTCAGCCGCGAGTCCGAGCGAGCCTCCCATGAACCGCCAACTACAAACCATAAAATTGTTAGTTAAAAAAAAATATATTTAAAAAAAAACCAAAAACAAAACCCAACCCCAGCACCCTGAAGCCGCAGCAATATCACCGGCCCATTGACGCCACGGATCAGGTGACGCCGCTCTCCCACCCAGCGGATGCCGAGCCGGCGGCTCTGCTGTGCCGACCACAGAACCACCAGCCAGCCGGGGGCCACCGCGCC